TGGTAATACGCATACAGAAATATCTTCCACTTGAGGTGAGCAATTCAAAATTGGAAAGGAATCTCTCCTTATTGGGCTGCCTAGTACCAAGTCCACATTTAATCTATGATGTGAAATCTCATTTCTTGGGAGATGTGAGAAGCCAATCCCAAAATAAAGCCCATCCCTTTCAAAAATATATTCCACATTTTAAAATGGAAGTTCTCCTCCATCTGAGGTTCAAGAAGGAGAGGAGCATTTACCCCTGCCTTGAGCCTGGCCTCTCTTTATCAGATTACCACCACTTGCTTACTTCTCCTTTTATACCTTGCACCTAGGCCTGGCAGAGCCCACCTGTATGAGCTCCATGCTCCTTAGCCCTTCCTTGCCTGCTTCTATACCTCAGCAGACCCAACACAGAACCAGAGGGATTGGACTGGAGCTGCCCAAATGGGTAGTACTACAAATCACAGCTTCAAGTATTCATTTTTTAATAAAATGAGTAGAAAATAAAACATGGCCTTAACTGAATAAGATCCAATAGGCTGTAATCATCATATTGCAGTCACATAAGCAATCTCTTTTTCTGTGTATCTATATCCCCGATCTATTAAATATAATCCCATAAAATAGCACATTTCTGAGCTTTACTTTTTATATTTTGGTTCCTGTTTCAGAGATGGCATCAATCATACACTGTATCCACTGGATTATCCACAGTGGTAGCTTTTGTCAATATTAATACTCAGTTACTTCAAAAGGGCTGCATTATTTTCATGCTTAACAGTGATTTTCATATGCAGGAGTGGTTCAGTGAGACTGATCTCTGGTGACCTTCTGTTTCTAGATCACAGTTTGTTTTGAGTTAACATTTATGTACTTGAGTGTATATATATATATATACACCCCTTACTCATCAGTCATGTTTGAGAAGGGTGTTGCTTCTGAAGTTGAAAGCCTCAAATATTTGCGGTTGTTGAAGATTAACCTGTCAATTTATCTTTGAAATTTCTCACCAGCAATAGAAAGATGTATATATCACTAGTTTGATCAGTGGCAGAGCTGGATTTTGCAACTAGGGGGATAATGGGTCGAAAAAGTGTGGTTGATGCATCCCTTGATTTTGACTGCACCTCCCCTCTGGCTTGCACCGTTATAGCATTCCCCATCTGTTCCCTGAAATGCTTCATGGTCTCCTCCATCCCCTGGGGCCAGGGACACACTCCACATCTAGCCCTTGCAACTCTGTCCCTGGAGCTGCTCAGTTCAACCACAATGGGGCCCCCTTCCTGTCCCCCCATACTCCACACCCCCAGCCTCCCTCCCCTGCCTGCCCCACCAGCAGCAGTAGCATGAGCCCAGAGTGGTGGCAGCAGCAGCTGGGGCAGCAAGATCCACAGAGACTGGGTGCAGAGCAGCAGGTGCAGGCTGGCACCAACATAGAGCCAGGTGGGTCACTGCATTTGTAGCCACAGCCCCAATCTCAGACACAGGTGCCGAACAGCTAAGGGCTGCTCCTGGTAGTACCCATGATCTTATTTGCTAGGGGGGTGGGGAGTGGCTGGGGGGAGGGGCAAGAGTGCTTCCTCAGCAGGCACAGCTTATTTGGGGGAAACTTCCTGCTCATTGGAGCCCCTGGGAAAGGGGCAGGAGCACTTCCCCCTAGTGCAGTAGAGGGCCACTTCTGGCTGCTCAGAGCCCCAGCCACCCCCTGCACTGGGCAGCGCTACCATCTTCATACCACGCCATCACCACTGCCACTTATACCATTTCTGCCCATCTGAGGCCTCAAAATTTGCAGCCCTAGGTAGCTGCTTAGTCTGCCTATAGGTAGAGTTGATTCTGCATAATACGCTTGAAAAAGTGCCACATATACACCTAAAGGCCACGAGAGTGTGTGTGTGTGTGTGTGGGGAATCTCTCTTCTCTCCACCCCCCACCCCGATTAGTTTCACTCTGAGACGATATTATAGGCATGTTCTGAGGGTGGTATTCTGTACTTGCTCTAGACACAGAACTACTTTTGAAGTCAACAGCAAAGGAACAGCATTTTGCTTCAGAGTAGCCAAGTTACTGATTCTTTAGTCTGAGAAGTTTCTAAAAGAATATTTTAGTATCCAGAGAGTGGCCTCCACTCGGAGCAAGATATGTTGAGAGGATACTGTATTTTACACTCATGACCCCAGACCCTCTGGGTGTTGCTGACTTAATTATCAGAGAAAACATGCAATGGGAGAGACTGTCTTATGATAAAATGTTATAATGTGATCATATGTCAGAAAGTCATGGAAAGTGGCTCTAGGTCTTGTTTTTCCTCAAGTGAGGTAGCTATTTGTATTCTTATATAGAAATCAGGTAAGAAATAAGATAAACATAATCATTTTATTATAAAATGATGATGCTGAGGAATATTTCTTTGCAAGGATATCCTCATGGATGGCCCATGGGGATGTTGTCAATTTTGGATCTAGGACATGACTGACTCCCAACTAGAGATGAAATCATGTTCTCTAGATTGATTTTGCTATCTCTTTTGCAGTAGGAAAGGCTCATTAAAGGCCTCAAGGATATAAAATGCTATCAGAGTCTTGTTCTATTTCCTGGCTGCTTTGCTTGTTAACAGTTTTTTTTTTTCTATCAGCTCCTCTGTAGGTTTTAAATTAGAGGTTCATACAATATTCGTCTTTTGTTTTGGCTTGTTTTTTATGTGGAACACTTTAATAAAACATCTTTAAACATATCCAATGGAAAATAAATCTGAAAGTAGCCCATTCACATATCATAAATTAGAAAAAAACTGAGGACAATATACAGTATTTGCCAATATAGAGATAAAAATCCCACTGGAAAGGCACAAGTTAATCTTTCTTTTTAATATAAATAGAAAAGGAGAATGGAACCAGAACAGAGGCTGAAGAAGAGAAGAAATATTAAGCCTTTTATTGAGCCTATTTTTGGAATATACACTCTTCCATTCTCTCTCTGAACTGCAGGATGACATAGCTGGGTACATGAAATGGTTAGAAGTAGGGTCACCAGATGTCCCAATTTTATAGGGACAGTCCCGATTTTGGGGTCTTTTTCTTATATAGGCTCCTATTAACCCCCACCCCCGTCCCGATTTTTCACACTTGCTGTCTGGTCACCCTAGTTAGAAGTAAGGTACAGTGTACTATTCTATTCTAAGTTATATAGGTTTTTATACCACACTCATCACCATAGTACCTGAGCACCTTCCAGTACTGCATTAAGCAGCATGACTACATATCTATCACAGGTTTGTTTTCTCATTTGCTCTCCAGTAGAGTGTCTTGTTTTGGCAGTGTGTACCTTATATATATATATACACATACTGCTGCTATGTAGTTCTGTTAGAAGGCAAGATCAAAGAAATGAGCCTTGCACTGGAGCAAAAATGTGAAGTGGTTTGTAATAGTCCCTACTTCCTGGAGGAGTTAATTCCACAGCCTTAGACAGTTTCTGGAGATTTTGTCTCCTGCACAGACAAGATTTACTCTTAATTTTGAGAGTCCAGCTGTGTCACAGGAACATAGTTGTCAACCACAGTCTTTGTCCCAGAGCTTCAGATGTTTTTTTTTAAGACACCCTGGGCCTAGGCCATGGAGTGCTTTGAAGATAAGGACCAAAGACCTTTAACTTGTTTTTAAATTATGTGGGAAGCCTATAGAGAGTGGAAGGTGGGTTTGATGTATTTGTAGCAGCCTTTGTTGCTGAGGAGATGTGCTACAACATTCTGAACTACTTGGAGTTTCCTAAGTGCTGAAGGATTCATGACCAGGGTTGACAGCAATGGAGTGTGCCTTGCACCTGGAAAAGAATGTGAACCAGTCACTCCTTGATCTGCACAAGCTGGCAACTGACAAGAATGACCCTCATTTGTGTGTCTTCATTGAAACTGTATTTGAAGTTGTAATCCAGTGGAGCGGTGACAAAGGCCAGGTCTTCATGCACCAAGATGGAATGGTGTTTCCAAGCAAGATGGAGATGGTAGAAAATCTTATTTGTAGATGCTGATATGTGAGAGCTCAACCTCAGAAAGGAATATAAGAGTACTCCTTTACGGACTGAATTGACCAATTGTGGGTACACTGTGGTTGCAAACTCGTTGAAATCTTGTCCTCTGCCCACCAGCATCACCTCCGTCTTGATCAGCCTCAGCTTCAGCCAGCTTTTCTTCATCAAAGAGCTAATCTCATCCAAACATTGGGCCTTTTTGGTGGTGGTTGTGATATGGTCAGATGTGTTGAAGGATAGGTATAGCTGTGTATCATCAGCATATTGCTGTCATTTAAGTTTTGATTTGACTAGTTCACCTAGTGTTTGTGTGTAAATCCTGAAAATAACCAGAGAAAGAATTGATCCTTCTGAGACTGTACAAGTAACAGGTCTAGTGGTGGAGGTGCAGTTTCCCATCATTACTCATTATGTGCATCCCTCCAGGAAGGACTCAAACCATCTTAGTGCATTACCCTGAACCCTTGCATCTCTCTCAGGTAAGACAGCAGAATCTTGTGGTAAACAGTGTTAAATCTTGCAAAGCGGTCCAGGAGGATGATAATGGTTGTCTGTCCTCTATCCATTGATAGCAGAAGATCAACCATCAGTACCATTAAGGCAGTTTCAGTTCCAAGTCCTCACCTGAATCCAGATTATGCATGGTTTAGAATGTTAGCTTTAGTTAGATGAGCATTTATTTGGCCTTTTGCTAGCTTCTCTATGAGCTTGCTCAGGAATGAGACGTCTGACACTGGGTGGTAGTTGGCCAGTACTGAATATCTAGGGTGGGTTCCATACAGTATGAATTGTTTTATATTAAATAAAATGGGTAAAAAAAAAAAGATGTAGACAAAGATGAGACAAGAAGAGAGAATCAGACACTGGTTAAAAGCTATAGATATGCCACGAGAGATTTATATGTTATTTATATGGCAAACAGTCATTTCATTTTAAACATATATATATATATAAGAAATTTCTTATTTCACTTCTTTTCTTTTCAGGTACTTCGGTGATACAGGTTACAGCTACAGATGGAGATGATCCTGCTTATGGCAATAGTGCCCGGTTGCTTTACAGTATTTTGCAAGGACAGCCCTACTTCTCTGTGGAGCCAAAGACAGGTATTGTTAGATCTTCCTATAACCCAAGCTTAATTCATGAACTCTCCTAAAATAGCTGTGTGTCAGATAAAAATTACAATAGATTGTAATCTTATTTTCTCAAGACAGCACAAATATAATTTCCTCAGATCAGACAATCTACCTACCTGTAGCACCCACAACTGTAGTATCTGAATGTCTCCTGATTTATGGCTTGATCCTGCTCCTGCTCAAGTCAATGGAAAAACTCCCATTGACTTGACTAATACAGGATCAAGCCCTTAGGGCCCGATCTGGAGACCATTTAAGTCAATAGAATGAGTCATATTTACTTCAGTTGTTTTTGGATGGCGCCCATAGTCACTTCATTAAATAAAATGGAATACATTTCACATAAATCTAAGAAAATTTCAGCCTGGGAGACATTTCAGATATCTCTCTATTTTTAAGACATATATAAAACTGGTTCAAATAATAGTCACGATGCAAACATTAAATTCCAGGACATATAATAATAATACTCCCAAGTCTATAAGATTTTATGCTTAACACCTCAAACAAAATTTAATCAGCATAATTTATTTATGCCTCAATACTTCTCTGAAGTAGGGAATATTATTATTCTCATTTCAGAGATGAGTAAGCGGAAGCACAGAAAGTTAAAAGACTTGCTAAAAGGTGAAAGTGAGACAGTGGGATACCCAAGATATATAAAACAAGAAGCCCTAACTTCCAGCACAAGGCCACATGTGCTATGAACTAATTAGTATGTATATTATTGGCTGTGGCCATCTACTTAAAACTTGATGTCATTTGTCTGTTTGTCTGTCTGTCTATTTGTATGTAACACAACAGCTTTTCAACACAGAATCTGATCAATTCCAAAACTTCAGGGAATATTCTATGAACCAATGAGCAGAACCCTATTGGTTTGGGGGACCACGAGGGACATGTGTAGCCCCCTTTACTCTGTTTAACCCAGCTTCAACTACCTCTGCAACTGTATAATGATTAAACCACTGGTTGATGGCACCAATTAATGCCTTTGAGCATAACAATATCCCATTTCTGTCCATCCTCCCAATAAAATTTAAAATGGCATGAGCAGAGAATGGGGGACATTTTGTGGGGGAAGGGCAAATGGGGAGGGGGCACATAGAATCCCTAGCATGGGGGAATGGGGATGCATACAGAGCCCTGGCATAGGGGAATAGGAAACTCTTGCATGGTGGAAAGGCATCACCCAGAGCCCTTGGCATGAGGGAAGGGATGGAGGGTGCAGGGAACCCCTGCAATAAAGTATGATGGGACGGTGGCACATGGGTGGAAGTGTGGGAATGGAAGAATAAGCTCAGCCTGCAGATGTTATGAATTGTGAGAGCTCTTAGTGCTACCAAATCTGGTGCTTCTTTTTGTACTCTTAATGTCCGGTCAGATATTGTAAATAATGTGCTTAGCTAACCGTATCTTCCAGGTGTTATTAGAATTTCTTCCCAAATGGACAGAGAAACTAAGGAGCAATATTTTGTCATTATCCAAGCCAAAGATATGGTTGGGCAAATGGGTGGATTTTCAGGAACAGCAACTGTAACCATCAACCTCTCTGACATCAATGACAACAAACCCAAATTTCAACAAAGTGAGTAAATGCCAAGAAGTTTTATTATTACACAAAAAACTGTGGGGAAAATTTAGTCCTAGTGCAATGTCAGTGAGTTCAGTGGTATACCCATTTAGATCAGATCTACATTTTGCCTTTTGTCTCATATAGTCAAATAAAAGATTGATAAACCAATAACTTTTCCATAAAAAAAAAAATAACCTGGACTAAATATCTTGAGAGCTCAAGCCAGTGCTATGTTTTGTTATAGTTTTGAGATAAAAAAGATACCTACTTTAGGGAAGTTAAATACAAAAAAGGAGTTTTTTTCTCTTGGGATTTAGGGCATATTTTTACTTTATTACTGTTAATATATTGACAACAGTAAAATTATGTTGATCTAAGGATAAAAATTCTTTCTTTCAGGACTGACTACTTAAACAATAAATACAAACTGAACTAGTAGGGAAGCTATGCATCGCCACTGCTATCTAGCATGCAGCTGCATTCAGGAGAAAGAAGCACACTATGCTAGCTTAATACAGAGATCTATATTTTAATGGCAGTCTTCCCAGAGTGTGCATATGTAGAGAGGAGCTTTCACACCACTGGTTTTCTGCATCCTGTGGTCACTGATCTGAAATAAAGGTTAATTGTAAAAGTGTGGGAAACAAAGGTGGTTTCAGAATGAAGTGGTGGGAAATAATTCGGACTTAGATACTTTTTATTCAGAAACCTACAGTAAATAATAATGATGTTGCAAGTGCACACCATACAAATACTGTAAACCAGTTGGGTCCAACTTTTCAGCATTAGAATTAAACTTAACAGCTGGATTCCTAGTCCCACTGAAGTTAATGTGAGCTTTGCCATGGATTTCAACTGAGCTAAGATTTCATCCAGCAGTTTAAAAAGGCCACAGGGCCACAATCAATATCTATTTCCCTCTGCTCAGGCATAGGCAACTGAGCTGCTATGCTGTCCTCCCTATGGATCCCACAATCTAGCAAGAAAACAGGCAGTGTAGAACCTTAATCTTCTCTCTCCTCCCTTCGCTTGGCCGGGAGACTGAGCTGTAGGCAGTTAGGCCTAGTGGTTGGAGTGGGAGTCAGGGCTAGTGGTCGGAGTCCAAATGCCAGAACCAGCAAGCAGAGCCAAAGGTCAGAACTGGCTTGCTAGGAGCAGGAGGACAGGAGGGGAACAATGCTTGGTGCAGGGTAGGATCTGGACTGGAGCTGTGGAGGAGCAAAAGAGGAGCAGGGCTTGGCAAGAGACAAGCACAGGGAGGCAGAGAGAGTGTGGGCGTTGAGCAGCCAGTGAGCTACCGCTGCTGCTGAGTTTAAGAACCAGCCTGTTGGCTTCCTCAACGAATCAGGCAAGGCAGTCCATCAGGCATCCCAGCTGGCTTGTTAGGGTGTCAGGAGTGCTGAGCAGCTGCAGCTGCAGGGACTTACTCGATCCCTATTCCTGCAAAGTAGCAGGCTAGCAACAGGGTCACTGCTGAGCAGCTCTAGCAGGAATATGACAGAATCTGCTCCCAGCTCACCTCAGAGTGGTTTCCCAGGCAGCAGGGGAGCAGTTGTGATGCAGTTATGGAGTTGCTGCCCCCTAGTGCTTCCTCATGGGACTGATGCTGATTCAAACACTTCCCTTTGAAACTCACATTACCCAGCTCAGGAGACATATTTTCAATTTATATTCAGGCAAACATTTTTTTCTTAAATAGTCACCCCCCCCCCCATGGCCTCAGGTGAGTGTTTCAACGGCCACTACTATTCCCCAGGCCACAGGTTGCACACCACTGCTTTCAACTGTTACAGATTGTTGACAAAGTTGACAATATTTAATCTAAAGGTACTTGGCTGTTTCTTTAAGAGTTCTACTACATGAATATCTCTGAGGCAGCACCAGCGGGCTCTACCATAGGCAAAATCATGGCAGAAGACAGCGACATAGGGGAGAATGCAGCCATGAATTATGTCATCGAAGGAGATGAGTCACTTGTTTTTGACATCGTTACTAACAATGAGACCCAAGAAGGAATTGTTATATTAAAAGAGGTGAGGCATTAAAAAACTCACTAAAATGACACATATCATAATCTTTTAAAATAATAAAATAATAACTACGACTACTAAAACAACAACACTGCATGTTGTTGTCTCCATGTTTTTCTATCTGGCTTCTTTAAGCACTAATAATCTGACTGAAAATAGGATCTGGAAAGATGTGGGGAAAAACAACCTCACCAGCTTAGAAAGTAGAATGATATTTTTGGTTTGTGGCTCAAGCAGTTGGGGTCTGGATATCTGGGTTTTATTCCCAGCTTTGTAATTGTCTCTTTATGTGATTGTGGGAAAATGTCTTCATCTCTCTGTGCCTTGTTTCCTCACCTGTAAAATGGAAAGAATAATTGGAGAGGAGTGTTCTGAGGCATAACTCACTGTTAGTAAAGAATGTTAAGATCTTGAGATGGAAGGTACTTCTGTGTATTAGTGAAAAGTGTTATGATTTCTTCACTGAAACATACTCAGGAAGCTTCAGTTGTATATGGGACTTACTTTAGCATCACATAGGGAGAAAAAGAGTTAGCTACTAGAATTGAACTGATGACAAGTTTTCATTTTAAACCTTGAAGGGGAGGGAAAAGACAGAAAGTAAGTTCACTGAGTTGGTTACCTGTGTTCTCATGGTATGAAAAGCCAAAAAATATTCTGTGATGGAGCTAGAGAGCACAAGGTATTTACTCAGACAATGTCAGCACTTCTGTGAAGTATGGGAGACTAAAGAATTTGATGTTGCTGTCTTTTGCCCATTTGGAACAGTTACAAGGAAAGGAAGCTATTTCGCTAATATTTCCTGTTATAGTTTGTATTACTAATCCTGACTAAACAGATAGTAGGACAGACAGTATGGTCAGAGAGTTATTCTTCATTTGTTTTTTTAAAGGGGAGGCAGAGTTATTTTTTCTGAAGACTAAACTTTAATAAACTCAGTCTGAGCATCTGAAAATTAATTAATTCCCCTTATTCTACATGAAAATTCATATGATGTATTGTATAGTGTTAACTCTACAGGCATTAAGAACATAAAACCTACATTAGACATAAGTGACAAAGTAAAGGAAGCTATCCATTACAATACTATTAAATCATAACATCAGAGCAAGCCAAGGAAATCAATCTTTAATAGTGAAAGCAAACTAAAGTAAGACAGATTAATAATTAAACTGTTATTGCAGTGTGTGTATATGTGTGTGTGTGTGTAACTGCTTTTAAAACATTCCCAAAAGAAGTGTACCACTGTTTCTTGTCTTTAATCTTACATCAGTCATTAATGTATTATTAATTTTAAAATTCTAAAAAAAAAAAAGAAGAAGGAATATTCCACTTCCCACTTTGTTTGTCGACAGAGAGTGGATTATGAGAGCAAAAGGAGATACAGTGTTAGAGCAAAAGCAGTCAACAGGCAAATGGATGGCCGTTTTATGAAGGAAGGGCCCTTTGAAGACACAACCATTATCAAGATCAGTGTGGAAGATGCTGATGAGCCTCCAGTTTTCACCTCACAGAACTATGTGATGGAAATCGCTGAAGGGGCCACAAATGGTTCCTTGGTTGGTGCTATCACTGCCAGAGATCCAGACAATGCCAACAGTCCCATCAGGTACACACCGTACAATGTAAATAGGTATGCTAGGAAGAAATTATTTAAAAAACAGGGCTGAGATATCAAAGGGGCCCCAAGACTATTCAAGTGAGAAAAATTCCCAAGGGACGTTTTTCCATTACACAGGTCTGTGCTTCACGACTGAACTAAAGTTCACCTACGTTATGATAGCCTGGATATCCTTAAGCCAAATAGTCTGGAATAGTAAAATGTCATTTCCTCCCTCTGGGCTTAATCCTGACCCCTGTACAAAGCCTGAATAAATGGGTTTTGTAAATCAGTTCTTCATAGTAGCCAGTGGATGGAAAAATAGATCAAATAGGGCCCTGTAGAGGATATGGGGCAACAGCAGAACTGTGGTGCCATGTTCACAGCTAAAACCTCAGGCCTGCAGTAGCACAGATGTCAGGGTGTTCTGAATAATTGCTGATCCACTGGCTATGCCCCTATCCCTACTCCAGCCTGCTCCCCAAAATCTCCTTTACAGAGGGGCAGAGGGAAATATTGTAGTGCTGTGTTATGTTTTAGACTTGGGTAGGAACAGTGTCCACTCCAACAGCCAGGATCTAGCCAGCTAGCTCTGTGTAACATAATTGTACCAGTTTCCTTCTCTTTCAGCCTTCTATGACTGGTATTTGCCCCAATAGTGAAATTTTATACTGAACAATTCTACAAACTATGTATTTCACAATATAGTTTTAATGTATCTTAAGGCAGGGCACAGCTGATTAATCTTTAGCATTTGATTTATAATTAAAATAGCTTGTAGAGTCAGTTGATATAATTGAACACCACTTAATTTAGACAACCTAAGGTACAGTATAAACTAGTTTGGTGCAAAATAATACACTAGTGTGGACTAAATTATCAAGTTCTTAGTAGATGATATATTCTATTATTATCTATGCTTCAATATACTATAGATTTCTAATATTTTTGTCTTTTATAATACTAGTTTCCTATTATATTATTTTAAGACTTAGTCTGGGGTAAAATTAAGTTAAAAAAAGTACAAATATATGTACAGAATTTTTCAAAACACTTGGTGTTTTTTTCTCAGAGAATTATAGCATCTGTACCAAAACATGTAAATACTGTGAATATTTATAACATTTGTATAGTATATTTTTTCAAAATAAAATATTACTCTAGGGGTTGCTGTGATGTAAATGTGTGTCGATTGCCCCAAACCAGCAATGTTTAAGCAGGTTTGTTGCACCATAGACTTCCTTTAAGATGGAACATTTCATTTTACAGTGTGCATCAACTATGATTTTAAGACATATATATGTATGTTTTTGGGAAAGTATATGCATATGCAGCCAATTATTTAACAACAACTCAGCTGTCAGTGTTTTCTTATAATACAAAAACAAAACAAAACAAACCCAGGCCTGATTGCCATTATGGACACTAGTTTGCAAACAGCAATATATGTTATAATAAATGAAGTTTATTTAAAACAAACAAATGTCTGAAATCAGAAAAAAAAACAAAACAGAAACAACAACAAGAAAAGATTGCGTGGGGAGGGAGGATGAGAAGATATTCTCATAAATGAAATATGTTTGAAGCTGAGTTATAAATCCCTGAAATAGCAGTTTATAAAGGAGACATTGACAAGTCTCTTGCTAAACTAAAGTGAACAGACTACAAGCTAGTATGGTAGTTCTTGGATTTAGTATCTTGCTGATTTTCACACAGGATGCATGGTAACTATAAATTAAAAGTTAGAGAGTCATCCAACCACTGGCATTTAATAAGGGCTATCAGAGAAGAGTCTTAAGTGTCAATTTGTAATATAAAGACTTTATCAAGCAAAATGAAAGCTGAAGAAGAAGAGGGAATTGTTAAGTATGGGTATTCTGCACAGGACCAATGCAGACTTTCTGAGTATGCGGAAATTTCACTTCCAAGAAATAGCCACCTACTGTACCTTATGAATAAAGCCACACATTTAGTTTTATCTTTTTTAAAAAATCCAATCATTTAAAAATCTCTGACATTTTAATTTATATATTTGACTTCACTCTCTGCCTTTTTCATAGTCACTCATATGTGGCCAATGATAAGAATGTAACTATCATTCCACCTGCATTTTGTATGTTTGCATATGAACATGGCATACAGAGCTTTTCAAATGATGGCTGTTGCAGTAGAGCTTCAAGTTGGGCTCATTGCAGTCATTTCTCACTTTTGGATTTTGTACCTGGGGTTAGCAGACACCTCATTACAGATAGCCAGATGCCTCTCTTTTTCCCTAATGCTCATTCCTTCGACATCATAACATGTCAGCAACAATAAAATAGATTTACCATTATACCTCTACTTAGTTTCCAGTGTTATTCATTTCACAAGGCATTTTTGCTGTTTCTTTTCAACCAAGTCATTCACCTGCTGTGAGACTGACTGAGAAATAAGAATGAATAATGCATTTTAGATTCAGTTCACATTAATATAGATCTGAGGCATATTTAGTTTTATGAAAAGAAGAGCTTTGATCTTGGCAGCAGTGAATTTTAAATGTTTATAAGTGTACATTTTTCATAATTTCTGAGCTGCTGCTGCACACATTTATATGTATATATGCACAGCTCTGTTTTCTCGACTGACAATAGCTTTATACGTCCAAGCTGCAAGATGGAACATTTCAGTATTAGGCAACCTCTTTACTCTTTTGGTGCAGGTATTCTATTGTCCACAGCACGTATTTAAAGAGATTGTTCAGCATCAATGCACACAGTGGAACAATCATTATAACTAAGCTTCTGGACCGAGAGACAGCTGCTTGGCACAACCTAACTGTTACAGCCACAGAAACAAGTGAGTAAGAATTTAAGGAACACTATGTTTTGTATCCTGCATGCACTTAGTGTAATTATCATCTGAACATCCCTTTTTTAAAATGGAGAATACATGCTAATTTCTCATTATATTGCTGTTTCTTGTTACATTAAGGAGCATTATTAAAATGATGAGTTCAGTGGAAGCAGGATGTTTTTGAGCTCCAAGGTCTTGTGCTCTTTCATAAAAGATGACCTTATTAAAAAAAAAAAAAGAAAGAAAAGAAATTGTAATGAGATGAAGACTCTAACACTTTCAAGTTATACTGAAGCATATGAATTGCTCCCCTGGTGCAAGATCTTATGTTATATTAGACCCTGGTTAATTTCACACCAGATTTTTGACTAGTGTAAAATTAGCCAGGGTCTAATTTAACACCAGTAGGAAACCTGTATTTCAAATTAATGGTTAATGTGGGGCCTAAATCAGCTAGACTTCTCTACAGTGACAGTTAAGTCTGGGCATTATCCTTTATATAGATTTCACCTGTCAGTTTTGTCTGAAAGTCAAATGCAAATTGCCTCTGTTTGTGCTTTCAGTTATCCAGCTGCCCTATCTTTGGGACAACATTACAGAAAATGCTTGCTTGCTAATTTGGAACTGGATGCGGCAAAATGTGTTTCTTCTTAGTTAAAATTAATCACATCATCCATAGGAAGAGAAAAGGTCAACAAAATAGGAGGATATCAATGGATGAACTACTTATTGCCATGTATTTTTAATAACTAGCATGTGGTTTAGACATTGTGTCATATACATTTGTTTTTTATGATGACTATTTAGAAATATGTGTAAGACAAGGTGTGTGAGGTAACATCTTTTATTGGACCAGCTTCTTGTCTCTGGTGAAAAAGACAACCTTTAGCTATATGTTAATCCAATAGATTCCCCATAAGAAAGCATTCCCCATGTATATATCAGAATAGTAGATGCAATAGTGAGCTTAATATAGTAAAGTTGGTGGCAATAGTTACTGCAACCCTCATTTTATATTTGTGAACTGATAGTCTTGTTTGAATTCTTGGTTTATCTATGAGTTTTTTAACACAAGTGTATCTTCTTTTTCACTTTATTGGACAGCTGGCGGGTGATATGGTGTAATGGAAAGCATCTCTGGCATATTTTTGTCATATCTTGAATAGGTCTATGGAAACATTGCAGGATGACTTCAGTCTAGGATTGTGACTTTTCTGTTTAGCTAAACACTAAAAAGGGAGAGACCCACACATTACAATTGAATAAATGTCTCCTGAACCAGAAGAAATGCCAAGGCTTTCAATGTCAAGAAATATTAAGATATGTATTGTAAGAAGAGGGAGCCCTTCTCATTTTGCTACATTTATTCTCCAGCTCTTTAATGATTATAAGGTCACCATTTAATAAGATGATATCCAGAGGTATTAAAGGTGTTTCACATTGGTTTGGATATCCTTGAAGATGATTTACTTTATCAATAAATAACATTTAACACCTGAATAATAATCATCATGTCTATCCTGTGGACAAAGCAATATTTTCTTGAAAAACAAAGAAACTATGGGTGGAATTCTGGCTCCATTGACCCCAATGGCAAAACTACCATTGATGACAGTGGAACCTGGATTTCATCCCATATGGGCCATGTATGGTTACAGTCCCTTTGCACCAACCAGATGGCATAAATCCAGCTTCAAATCCCGTAAGTGTCCTGGCATCTGCACCATAGTCATGCCTCCATCCCCAACCATTTCTCAGTATAGGGGGCTGAGGGGCACAGGGATGAGTTCCACGGCAATCCTCCACTGATGTAAGTTGCATTAAGGAGCATACATCAGTGGCACAACATATGGTATGTCTACTTGTGCCAGGTCTGACCTTGAGATTCTCAGAGCCAGAACCAGATGCCTAATGACCCTTCTTCCATCATGCACTGAGTGGAGTTCCAATGCAACAGCGAATCAAGCCAAATATTTTCTGTCTTTTGGTAGGTGCTAATCTGCCTATATAGAGTACACCAGGGATCGGCAGCCTTTGGCACATGGCCTGCCAGGGTAAGCCCCCTGGCGGGCTGGGCCGGTTTATTTACCTTCCGTGTCCACAGGTTTGGCCAATCGCGGTCCCACTGGCTGCAGTTCACCGCTCTAGGCCAAAGGGGGATGCAGGAAGTGGCGGCCAGCACATTTCTCGGTCTGCGTTGCTTCCCGCAGCCCACATTGGCCTGGAGTGGTGATAGGCCGAACCTGCAGACGCAGCAGGTAAACAAACCGGCCTAGCCCACCAGGGTGCTTACCCTGACGGGCCACGTGCCAAAGGTTGCTGACCCCTGGAGTACACAATCCAAACCAGAAATAATAGCACTCTAATAATGCAAACAGAACAAGAAAACTTGAGCCACCAGACTGACTTGAAGGTGATTTGTTCATTCACAAAAGGAAGGTCATTAGGGGCCAAAATGTTGTCTGCCTCCAAGTTCTGTCAATTGAAATATACATCTCCATCAAGTACTTCTGATGGTGACAGCTGACTGAAACATGGGACAACTTTGACTCTAATTTGCTATTTCTTTGGATGCCCAGAGGTGTGGTTCACTACCAGCTCTAAGTAGTTACCAGCAAGAGATAACAGAAAGCACCATCTGTCCTGAATAGTTCAGCATACCACCCCCCTTTTATACTGAGCTTCAGAATTTTCTTTCGACTACAGAATTCACAACTCTCCCCAGTTCTTAAGCATGGAAGGTAAAGGATTTAACTCACCTCTCCAGTTTTGTCTGATAAGTGTGATTTTATTGATTAGCCTTTCAATTTATATACAGTTCTTTTATATTTTTAGCTTTTAGCATTACCATTCAATACTTCCTTCCTGCTCATCTCCACTAGGAAATGAGGTGGGAGAACACACAGTCACAACCTGACTCAGCTAATCAAGTAAGTGATCTGATTTTTTTTCCATTTAAATTTTATTTACAAGTGAGCTTATTGTGGGGGGGGGAAATACTCACTGACTCTTTTTGTCTTTTAGGTTTTCGAGGAATTCTTTTCACTGATGGTGCACTTCAATGCATTTCTCCCAGCAATGTTCACATTTCAATGCCTGATTCAACACATAGTATAATTATTTAGGTCAATATTTTCAAAAACGGATGCTTACAGATATGCTCTGGCCCCTAAATGTGTGGCCTGATTTTCAAAAAGGCTGAGAAACCAGCATCTCCCACTGAAGTTAACAGGAGCTGCTGGGTGCTCGGTACTCATAAAAGCCAAGCTACTCAGACTAAGTTTAGGCATCTTCCTATAATTCCAAATACAGTGTTTGCCATTTAAATCACGCTTCTATCTTTGAAACACTTTCCACTCCCTCCAGCCCAATATGCAGCGTGAAAACCTGGCCCTATAATAGTCAGTGGGAATTTTGCCATTGACTTCAGTCAGGCCAGGATTCCATCTGTAACATTTTCTTTGTTTCTCATTTTAATTAATGCTTTTAGCCCAACACTGTTCTGTTTGCTTCCTGTTACACACACATACATACACACACAACCTTACTCCTCCTAGTCTGATAAAAAATGTCACTGCCAACACATAGGATGACTCCAGTCAGTCACAGCAACAGAGAGGACACTGGAAAGTTTTCCCCATATTGCTCTTCTCTCACAAACTATTTCTGGCTCTGGAATGACTCTAGCAAATAGTGGACATACTCTTTCAGCCATGGTGTGGTGCATCTCCGTGCTACTCTGAAGCAAGCCCACCCCGTCTGCCTTGGCTGAATTGCTACAATACATCTCATACTCTTCCCAAGTGAATCTGCAGTGTCATAAATTTGTTTCATTCTCTTACAGATTCAGTTAATAACAATGAATTACTTTGAAATCTTTTTTTGTTTACACAATGATGACTGAGATACCTTTACTTGGTTATGTTGAGTATAAATTACTTCTGTTTTTTTCTGAGAGGCCTCTGTTTCTTCCCAAGGGCATATTCTTCTTGGCATCATGATTAGTCCTAGGCTTTTTTCTCCTACCTCACTTTGGATTGGCCTTTGAGAGTCCAGAACTTCTTTAGTTCTCTGCACCTATTGGATAGGATTTTATCACTAGGGACAATCACATTATTACATTTGCAAACTTTGTTTTGATTTCTGCATGATTTGGCCAGTTTGGTCTCCAATAATTACTGCTACAACCTTGATTTCTTCTTAAAGAACCTTCCTAGACACCAGCCACTCTGTTACTGTGGATCTCCTACTGTCTTGGAATCTAGCTGTCTCTCAGCTTCCTCTTCCTCTCATGCAGACTGTGCTCTGCGTAGTAAATGTTCTGCTTATCATATCATAGGCAATGAGTAAAATAGCTATGCTCAGATCCAGATATCCTCATTTTCTTGCGCAAGGGATAAGTGGTGAGACAAGAGGTACGTCTTTCTGCATAGGTATTGACCCCTTTCCCTCGCCATGCAATGTGCAGCAAGGGTCTAGTCAGATGCCACCTGGCCAGTGCCAAGGACTGCAGAAGCAACTCTGTTCCCCCTGCTACCTCAGTTAACATTCCCTGGACAGATATTACACAGTTGTGACAAATAACTCAATAGTACAATATTTCATCTCAAGAAAAACCTCTTGTGTTTTCTGAGGAAGGTGCTAACTAGCTATGTGGGGGTTTCTGGCCAAAAGCTAAGAGAAAAATTTGGAATCTACCATTAGAAACAGAGAAATGTCTAAAAACACCAAATGGAAGGGTAACTGGGGAAAGAAAACAAGTGTGAATGGTAGTTCATGGCCAGGAGGAGCAATATAAACTTCCGACACTCACATTTTCAGAGGGTGCCATCAGGCCAATGAAGTGCCCATGCAGTCTATATATAGGCCAATCAGGCTCTGAGGGCAGGAACTAAAATCAACCCACTCCACTCAAGCTCTGTCCATGAAGCTGTCAAGAGGGATGGCGGGGAGGCGCTGCTATTCCCTCCCATACTAGCCAGGAATTCAGAGATGTATTCCCTCTGCCATCCCAGCCAAATCTCCTCACCACATACCTGCATCAAATAGGGTGAGGGCTGCAGTGTCAAAATTGTTTTTAAGATACTTATTTTTTCCATGCTTGTGTTATGTAAAAAAATAGCCCAACCAATTTTATTAATACATTCCCAATCAATTCTTATTAATATTAAGCATGAGAAATTTCATCTCGAAAAGAAATCTTTCAAGAAATATATGAAGAGGTTAATATAAGGAGTTATCATGAATTTTGATGCCTACTATTGATGCCTACCATAGATCAGCCCAGCTCCAGTGGTTTCAATGGGGCTCTGCCGCTACTCACCAGTTACAGATCTGACCTGATTTATTTACAGTTATTTCTGATACCGTTCCCTCTTGCATCAGCTCAGATTCCAGTGTTTGTTGATCTTCATGATCCATTTGACTCGTTTTCCTGAGTAGAGGAAGCAGCCTGACGGGAAGGCTGGTCACCAGGCAGTTTATGCTAGCACACAACAGTTTGCATTGTCAACTACTGTAAAGGGTCTTGCCAATATCAATCATGCTGTACTGACAGACCAGGTTGTGCCATTCATCAACAAGAATGTACTACAATGGTTCTATTCACTGGAAAATATTATGCTTCAGCTCCTGATCCAGTAAAGCACCTGAGTTTAAGCATGTGAGTATTCCTGTTGACTTCAGTGGGACTATGTATGTACTCAAGTGCTTTGCTGTATTGGGGCCAAAGTGGTATGTTTATTAGGGTGCCTGTGACACGTACATTCTTGTACTGTCTCTTTCTCTCAGTAGAGGTTTGATTCAGTAATGTGAAGAGTGCTTCCAAAAGTTGTTGATCACCCTCAACCGCCCTGCTCCTATTGACTTTAGGAGGCATTCTGTGACTCTTTTAATAAATGAGCAAGAATATTTCTAGGTCTGATTTGCATACAGATTGTGGACCAGTATAATTATTTTGAGTAGGGTGTGATTTTTTTTTTTTACTGGAATAGTTATATCAGTACCCTGTGGCCCAGGAACTTCTTTGTGCCAACTGGGTGAGGGAATGGGCGGTTGGTCCATGGACTTTTAAAGGGATCCCCTGGGTCAAATATATGCACAATAATTCACAAAATGATGGCATGTGAGATTTCTACTGAGAGCCAGTAGCTCACTGGGTATCATAATTATCTCAAAATGAATGTACAGATAATACCTAAGGAGTTGGGTATCTATACTGGAAATTATATTCTCAGTGCCTTGGAGTTTAGATAAACATGGTGACATGCCTCATACCAGTTCCTTCCAGGCAGGGGGTAATAGAAGCTATCTCACTGGCTGGGAATTGTGTATTGTCTGCTTCACAGTACAGCTCTATTTACATACTGAGCTAAAATTCGAAGCAAGAGATTGTGAACTATATGAGAGAGGATATTTACAGGAAGAAATAAAGCAGCAGGAGGGAATATTGTTTCCGAGTAAAGACAGTGGATTGTTGGAGTGTTTCAGGGGAGCAGAGGTACCCCCTGGCATCTTTCACTGAGGAGGCAAACTGGCAGCGTAACTTATCTCATGAATGAAAGATCAACCCTGGTTGAAAAACACTGCAAGGTCTTCGGGGTGAGCATTGATCTGTAAAATATGAAAGTAGAAAATTAAATAAATCTAAGTTCTAGAATTTGAGTTATGATTTTATTTTATATGCAATCATCTTTTGTTTCCAATATTTCTACTTGCTATCATTTGAATCTTTACTCTTTGTTAAATAAACTTTTGCTTGTTTTCGCTATGAACGTATCTAAGTGTTGTGTGTTAAGGAGTGCTGTGATCTAAGAGGAAAATTGTAAGCTGCTACTTTGGAAGTAGCAAATCTGTGAAGTCTGTTTCTAATGGACCAAGTCTTCGACACTCTAGGGAGATGGTCAGAGGGGTTGTAGCAAGCCTATCACTAGACAGTAGAGCCTGATTTGGCTAAGAGGGGAGTGCTTGTGTTTCCTGTGGCCAATGGAGTCAGGGAGCTGACACATGGCAGGCACAAACAAGGCTTCCTCATGCTAATGGCAAGTGGTAGCGAGGTGTCTCATAACCCCCTGGGAAGCATTACAACCCACTACTGTGGACACCATTATACCAATAAAAGATGCCCTATACAAGTGTAGCTAAATCCCCTTTCCATACCAGAGAAAGATATTAGTACAGCTATACTAATATAACTGTATCCACACCAGAGGGGTTGTATCAATATAGTTAAAATGGTACAACATAGGCTTGTAGACAAGACCTAAGAGGTCATCCTTTTATATGTAGGCGTATTTTGAACAAAGGTGCTAGTTTGAGAAAGTTTGGAAATATTCAGGTTTCTGCACCCATCTGTGTGCTTGGAGGCTTGTGGATATGTTGTCACCCATGGGCCTCATTTCTGTAGAATACAGTTTCTCAACCCGTGGGCATGAACCAGAGGATGGTGCATCCATCCTGATTGGTTTATGGCTAGAGCTGGCTGGATATTTTTGAAACAGTGGGAATTTTGGGGAAATTTGTTTTTGCCCAAACCTCTGAAATGTCAACTAAGACCAGCTGTAGTGGCATTAATCATTATCATAATCATAATAATAATAAAGAGAGATTCTGCTTTACAATTTTGTCTGCTTCTCGAAATGAAATACAATATCAGAAAATCTTCTTGGTTGCTGCTGCAATCTTATAATCAGAAGTGTTACCTTGCTAAAATAATTTTACAGAGCAATGGATAGGAATACCCCAACCGATTAATATTTTGGGCAATATTTGTGGGCATCAGTAAGGATTTCCTTCTCAGCTGAAGATTGTCATCACTTAATAGAAAATTTGAATACCCTTATTTCTTGAAAACATGCAATGTGTTAAACGTAACCATTGATTCTTGATGTCCTTTCCTCCTTTTATTTAGGAAATCCAGAACAAATTTCTGAAGTAACTGTGTATGTTCAAGTTCTTGATGTTAATGATCATGCTCCAGAATTCCCAAAACACTATGAGATTTATGTGTGTGAAAATGCAAGATCTGGACAGGTAAGAGGCTGAAAAGTTGTTGTGTAACCATATTGTTTCCCTTTTCAGTGACCTAAGACATTTGGCATATGGTATTGCTATTTGCTTGATCCCAGTTTATTTCGATATTACAAATGCAGGATAATCGTATAGAGTATAATATTTCTTTCCAATAAGAACAATATCCCTAGCAACCAAACAAGAAAACATAATCTTAGATGGGTAGAGAAGGAAACTGGTAAAAAAAAAAACACCACAATTTTAGTACAGTTTAATGTCACAGAGACAAAATCCTATTGGGACTGAGATTCTCAGCAATTATGTATAGCATTTTGAGAGGATTATTCATTGTCTTTTAGAATACAGTAAGGTTTAAATCTTTAATTATGTACCCTGATCAAAAGCCCATTGAAGTAAAATGAAGTCTTTCGGGTGCTATTAGCATATTTTAATGCTTTAACTAAAAATGCAATGATATCATTGTAGTAAATAATATAATTTACAAACAAATATTTATATCATCAATATATTTTTTTTATTTGTTCATAATTCAAAATGACATTGGTTTTCTTTTCTAAAGTTACTACTGTTGCATAATGTTGTTGTGTGCTGATGAATTGCTGTTGTGTTCTGCCCCAAAGATGACTTCTTTTCAGGAGTAGGTGAAGAAATCTCTGAATTTACATATAATTTCCACGGTGCTCTGGAATCCTCTAGGAAGAAAGGCACTGCTGAAAACAATAATACACATTAATGAGTGGAATCTCACCACACCTATCTGAAGTAGGAAAATAATATTTATCAGAGCTTACAGGTGGCAAAACTATAGAACAGAGATTTGTTAAGTCACTTGCTCAACACCAAACACTCTTGGAAGGAATAATAAGAAATTGTTACTGAAATGCATAATTATCACAGTCAATGATTAAGATGTTTTACTTAACTTAATGGTATAAAAAAGAGATTGTTATGGCTGATGTGTAATATAAATTTTACCTTCCTTTACTTTTAACAGACTGTTTTTGTAGGCTTTCCATATAGATAGATACATAGATATTATTAATGTTTTTATATTTTCATCAGAAGGAGTCTAGAGATAAAAATTAGTATTTTTATGATGATCACTTAACAGATCAATTTAGATTTTAGAATTTATATATAGTGAGAATTAATACAAGGCAATTAAAGTTGTAAGCTTCACGTTATGAAGCTCTAAATGGTTTAGTTCCTGCCTAACTCAGATTCCAATCCATAGCCCACTGAATTCAATGGAGCTCTTTCAAACTCTAAGGGCCTGATATATAGACCACTGAAATCAGTGGAAAGGTTTCCATTGATTTCAGTCGGCTTTGAACAGTCAGTCAAATACAACCCCTCTTTTTGGCCATCTTTCCTCAACTGACTCTATGATGGCCCAGGGTTGTCCACACAATGGCAATGGTAGATCAGGGCTTTTGGGGCCATCATGATAAGCTGGAGTGCTTGAGGTAGCTTCCCTCCTATTTATGTCTGAAAAAGGTATTGAGGGGTATTTTCAGTGAAGGGCTCCTACCTCTGGAAATTGCTTCCTTCCTTAGCCTGACAGAGCTGGAGTTTGTTTACTTTCATGGGGCACTGCAAAGCTAACCCTGTATTCTCAGGTTTGTCAGAATGGGGAGGAGTTATTGAAGGGGAAAAGTTCCTTATGCTGTGGGATTTGGAGGATTTTATTGTTGACTTCAATCCAGTTTGTAAGTGAAAACAAAAAGCAAATACATATAAATACATTATTTGTGAATGATTCAAGAGCATAAAAGGGCCATATTTTAGGAAACAAAGGAACTATAACAATACATAGAATAAAATGCCCTTTTGCTTAGCCAAACTCAAAGACAGTGGGGTGATACTATAGCTTATATCTAAGAACAATGCTAACCTTGAATTACATTTTCTTTTCTTTTTGGCAGAAAACCCCCCAAGATTATTAAAAAGTTCTCAGTCTATTTTTAGCAAATTACTTTTGCTCTCATTTTTTCCTTGTTATATTATGTTTCCTAGCCCCTGGAAGTGGTTCAAATAGAAGAATTGCATTTGGGTCCTTGGGACTATCATCTGAAAAGATAGCTTGACAATAAAAATGAATGTAAAAGAAGATGGATATTTTTGGCTATGGTCCAAATCCATCCATCAGGTTTATCAGACATTTTTAATGGATTTTTCATTTTCCATTTTATCTTATAGTTCTGCACCTTCCTATAATCCACACATCAACTGCATAGTAGCCAGGAAGGCAGCTTCCTTTTGCACATCGAGAAACCACTTTCACTGCACTACCAGTATTAAATCTATTATGTTCAAAATAACCTGAGCATGAAAGGTGCTATATAAAATAGAATACTATCCTATTATAGCTATTGCTAGCATCAGATCTAATAGAACAATATTAGTAAACCATGTGGCTGTTGGATTCTCTCTGGATTCACATTGAATCTCTTTGACCTTACCACTATATATATATAAATAATAGGCTCATCCGTTTTGGGAACTTGTTGACCACAGCGTGACAGTTTTTCTTTATTGCTTTTATTACAGTAGTTACAAACTCCGTTGAATTCTATACCAAAATCTATAAAAATGGCCAGTAAGCAAAATGGACCAAATACATCCCTGGTGTAAGACCACAGATGTCATAGCAAGAATGAATTTAGCCCAGCAAGACTTACTCACTGGGCATTAATGAATTGACTCTAGCTCAGAACTGCAGCTTGAGAGATTTAAATGTACTACATCAAATGACTTTCTGGGATAGGGTAAGTGAGTTGAGCATCCAGAATGTGTCCAGTTATATGTATAGTAATTTCAACCCCCTTGTGGCTCCTAGTCTTTCTTCATATCAGGCAAGAAGCAGATTTCAGCTGAAGACAAGCTGCACTGAGTTCACCTACATTTTGAATGAGTGCTGTCTTCTCTAATGTATATTTGTTTTGCATGAATTCTTCTAATTTGATGATCACACATGAACTGACTTTGATGTTGTAGTTTACTTTGTAATTTTACTTATTAGATCCAAAAGCAGAGACTACGTAATCTGCACTTTGAGTTAGAGATCAGAAAAAAAGCCATGCATTTACCCAACTACTTAGCATATAATAAAATAGCCAGTAGTTACAGTGCAAGTGAAGAGAATGTATGTGATATTAGCTTCCTATAAAATGAATTGTAGCACACAGACACACACACACACACACAGACACACACACACAAAACCCTCACAAAGAATACCAAGTTGTATATAGAACTGGCTGTACATGATTCAGGTTGATAATGAGCAGTTTGCAAAAATAGACCATTCCTAACAAGTCATGTTTTTAAAGAATTTTTGAAATCAGGAGAGAGAAATTGATGGGTAAGACAACATTTATTATTTTACCTTGGTATGTCTATTGATCATGTACAAGTAGCACATAAAGAGCAGTGATAAGAAAACAGGGAGGACGAGAAATGGGGATATCTCCATAGACAATAAAAGAAAACGGAAGTAGTGTGTAGGGATTTAAACCTCCTCTTGCCCTAACTGAATCTGCTGATGCATGGGAATCCAGCTTCTGGTATTTTGAGAGGGTGTGTAACTATGGACCAAGTTGCCGTATTGTAATTATGGTTAGCTAAAGCATGAGCTTTTCCTGACCACATAGTTGAGGCTGATCTGGTAGAGTGTGCTCATACAAGAGTTGTCCAAAAGTGGAAATAATTTCAATGAATTTTAAGGAGGCAACTTGTGAATAATTTCAAACAATGAATACAGTGGATAACAGGTTGTGAACATTTAGCAAACTTCTGGCAGGCCCATGGTTTATCCAGACTGACAGCTCCATCTACCTCTGATAAATCTGGCAAAAAGAGCTGAACTTTTGTGTAAAGAATCAGTGGACTTGACCACTCCAAGGAAAACCCCAAACCACATCTCTAGGGGAAGAAATAATGGATACATTTCAGTTTAAAAACAAATGCACGTTTTCAAATTGGCTCATAGATTATTAGAGCTTCCAGATTAATGAGCTTCAAAGTAACACAATTCATGGCAATTAGATTTAAATCCAATCATCTTCTACAACTGTATGAAAGCAATACCTAACCTCCTTATCTTTTTTCCCCACATCAAGCACATAGGATTTGTAGATCTTGATTCACAAGCAGTTAGTGCAGAACTTCTCAAACTGTGATGCTGCCTTCACTGCACTGCACTGAGGTGCCAGCCTGTCCCAGGTTAGATGCAAACAAGACTAGGGAGACTGGAAAAATATATCTTTTTCTTTCTTTCTGGATCATTTTTACTTCACACTTAGAAAAATCAGAGCTTTCTGTTGCACTTAATCATTTATAGACTTATATGGTTTATGTTGATTCCTAGTAAAAATGATCCAATAAGAAATAAAGATTAAGACATTTCCCTACCTATATGTTGACAGTATTCCTTCAATTCTAGGATGAAGCTCACAAGATACATGCATATGCTTAGAATAGTCAGAAAGAGGCAGGTTTCCCATTCCCCCCCCCCTCCCTTATTTTTCCTCTCTTTTTTTTTTTAAATAGCAAAGACAAACAAGGAAAAAGTCAGCTTGTTATTATTCCAGACTGAAAATGAACTTGTCAAAGAAGTATTCATTTTGCTTAGTTATAACTGATACTGCATGGAAAAATATATATACAGATGCCCACATTTATTTATATATTATTTATTTAGCTAGCTAGCTATACATGATGTGACAGGGTCAGGCCAGATGCCTACAGGAGAGTGATAGAAGGCAGATATATTAGCCCCAGGTTAAGCAGACCCCTTTCCCCTGGATAAGATAACAGGGGCAGTTCCAGAACAATCAAGAACTTGCTGGAACCAATTAAGGCAAACAGACTAATTAGGACACCTGGAGCCAATTAAGAAGCTGCTATAATCAATTAAGACAGGTTAAACAGGGCACCTGGTTTAAAAAAGACCTCACTTCAGTCAGTGCAGAGCGCACAAGGAGCAGAGAGTGAGAGGATGTGCTGCTGGAGGACTGAGGAGTGCAAACACTATCTGGCATCTGGAGGAAGGTCCTGTGGTGAGGATACAGAAGGTGTTGGAAGGAGGCCATGGGGAAGTAGCCCAGGGAGTTGTAGCTGTTACACAGGTGTTACACAAAACACTATAGACAGCTGTGATGTACAGGGCCCTGGGCTGGAACCTGGAGTAGAGAGCGGGCCCGGGTTCTGCCCATCCCCCCAACTCCCTATTGGATACAGGAGGAGCTGACCTGGACTGTGGGTCCCATTAGAGGGGAAGGTCCCTGGCCTGTCCCCCGATCCACTCGGTGGACCAGCAGAGACTGTGGGAATTGTTCTCCTTTCTTTTCCCCATGCTGGCCAGTGATGAGGTTAGCTGAGTGAATGGCAGGTTTGAGCCACTAGCAAAAGTGACCAAACTGAGGGCTGCTGTGAGTCTATGAGGCAAGGAAATCCGCCAATAAGTGCAGGACCCACCAAGGCAGAGGAGGAACTTTGTCACAATGAATTAATAGTGAAATAGCAGACCAGCTCTGTTGACTTGAAACTGCAGATATTTTGAGAATTCCAAACATGATGGATTTGTAATGATTTGTTTCCTGATTAGATGGCTATGTTACTAATCAGCACAATGCAATTGTAAATGGAGAGTATCAGAATCAAATAAATAATTAATAGTTTCTGTGATAATGTCAATCTTCAATGAGCTCCATGTGACCAGACTACATTGTCTGTATGGAGCTCACCACTGCATCAGTATCTTGGTTAGCTATATAGTTAGCCAATCATGGAATTGAAAGAATGTCACATGACATAACTAACCAATAAAGCACAAATTGCTAATTATGAGGTACCAATTTTACAATCAAATAGTCAAACATTGAGGCTCAACTTTCATTTTTCCTGAAACTCACATTAGTAAAGTTCAAAAATTGATGGAAAATGACCATGAAACTGCCATGAACACAACCAAATTGTAATTTGCTTTTGAATTTAAGCAAATATTTGTGGAATACACACAGCCATACAGTTTGTCAGCTATAGGCATGGAGATTATTACCATCAAACCTGCTGAAATAGCCACATTAGTTTGTTGAGTACATGATAGAATAGCATGAGGAAGCTGGACCATGGCTTCCAGTTCTGTACTGGATACATGCATAAGCAAAGGGCTTCATTCTCTAGTTCTGTCAATATTGCACTATCTGTGACAATTACATTCACTTTTCAAAAGATAATCTTGCATCTATTCTCACAATAGTGTTGAGGGAGCAGCTTTCCCTGCTATGATTGGGGCTAGTTCGCTCTCCCCCCTTTCTGCATATTTGAATCACCCTAGATACTCTCTAGTTCTGGGAAAAGAGGAAACATCCCATTATTCCTAACAGTTATGTAGAAGACACCCTTTTGTCTGATGTGGGAGACATCCCATGCAGTAGCAATCAGTGCTCTAGCACTGCCAAGATAAGGCTACATAGGACTTCTGTTTCTCCATGGGATCTTTACACAGATGAAAGATGGCTTGCTCACATGAACAAGACGGAGTGCCAGGAATATGGGGCACCCACAACAACAGCATATCCTGTTGCTTTCACACTTGCCTCGTACATTCCTTAAGTATCGTGGCAGAAAAGACAGATATCATGATACTCCCATGATTATTATCTTGCCTAAAAGGAAATGGAATTTTATGTTTACTTAGAACTTTGAATGGAAAATATTTGTAATTGGGGGAGATTTTCGAAGACAAATTGCAGTTAGGTGCCGGGCTCCCATTGGCTAAGTGCCTTTGAAAATCTCCACTGTAGCACCCAAAAGAGTGACGGTCTCTCAGGTTCACTGTGTTCAATGGGAGTTGAGTGTACTCAGAGTCCTGGACGCTCAAATCCATATACAAAATGAAGACACAGTGACTGATAAAATAGAGTCACGTTATTCGAAATGGACATGACATTTTCCTAAGTATCAAAGATTCAGGTCTGGATTTTTGGTTTGGGTCCTTATCTAATTAAAACATACTTTTAAGAAACCAGTCTCTGCTAATGAAAGAAACAAATTGGCTTTTGTAGTGATCTGTGAAGATCTTCATTGAATGATGTACTTGATGATGCATAATTCACTGAATAGCAACTGATAATAGTGATAAATACTTGCTCTTTGCAAGCAGAAATATTGCTCATTATATTGAGTTCATCTTGGTTGTTTATTCATGTAGATGGAAGATATTATTTTCAGGGCTAAGATGTTAATTTTGACTTTGTTCTCTTGCAAATGACAATCTGCTTTGACACATTTGTAACTAAGGCCTGTTTTGTTTTATTGAAAACCAAAACAAAAACTTCCATAATCAGTCTATCATAATTTCCAGAACCAACAATTCAGCACATGGGTTTGTCACCATCTCTCACTTACTGCCACTATAATACATCAGTTGAATGATGCTGCTATGTTTATGGGCTGGAAGGAAATAGCTTTTGCACTAGAGGGTTGGTTCAAATGGAGAATGATATATTTTTCACCTTGTGGGAAAAAGGAAAGGGCAAAATATTTTATATATGATTCTTGTTTGCATATGGAAACTTTATTTACACTTTGCATTTTGATTCTGGAAGCCATTTACATTATCCTAGGCATTTAATGCTTATCTCCCTCAAATCAACACAAAATCAAATGGCATAATGGCAGGACACTAAAAATACATTAGAAAACCGATAACCCCAACAAGGTTACAATTATATACATTTATTTGCTGCAGAATTTGTAGCCTCAGCAATTCATTATAATGGCTGACATTTATTGTGTTAAAAGAAAGTAAATAGTGTTTATTCTTAAACAGTCATGTTTATTCGCAGCTAATCCAGACCATCAGTGCAGTGGATAAAGATGATTCAGTAGAAGGCCATCATTTTTACTTCGATCTGGCTCGGGAGGCCACAAACAACTCAAATTTTACTGTCAGAGATAATCAAGGTAGTGTCATTCATGTAGCTTTTTAAAAATCCCTTCATGAAATATTCATGCTTTAATAGTGCTCACATCACCATCACATCCAGCCATACAGAGAAATGTTTGGTGTTAAGTTTGAAATAGGGCAAAAGAGTTATCATGAGCAAACTTTAATAATAATATAATCCAATAACCTCATGTAGAATAGTTCTTTTAGAATCCAAATAACTTTAATCAACAAAAGATAGTATTATGGAAGAGAGAAAAATACTTAGCACAAAATCAAGAAAAATAGATTTATATTATTTAATAGATAGTTAAATATAGTATACGTTATGGAGCATAATTTTAACTCCTAAATTGTCACATATTGGTGTTAAAAAAAGAATATTAGAGAGATGCTGTTAATAGGGGTTCACTCTTTTACTCAGTTCAGCAAAAATAGAATTATAAACAGAAGCACAATTCACAATTATGTAACTTTGCATCCTGTTACATTTAAAACTGTATGCATCGATTACTGATGACATGATATGAATGACTTCTCTGCATATCCTAATGCTGTACCATTTTGGTATTGATCCAGATGCTTCAAAAGAATGGTCTAGGGGGTCACCAATCGAAACTAATCTGAAGGGAAAACTTAAGTTTAACAGCTGGTGATATTACAGGAAAGATGACCAGTTAAAGTCAGTCTTCTGAGACTTAGAAGAAGAGCTTCTTTCAAACTCAACTAAAATACACATTACTTATATTGATTTTGCTAATTATCTGAATGTCTGGCTAGGTGAATAAATCAATGGGACTAACTTTTGGAAAGTTCATTCTATAGGAAAACTAGTTTTCTTAATGTCTCCAAAAGGAAAGGCAATGTTTTAATACATATTTAAATTTCTGGTTTTCATTTACCTCTGACCCACTGCTAGGAGGTGTAATCCTACGTAAGGTCGCCAACTTTCTAATCACACAAAACCAAACAACCCTGCCACCTGCCCTGCATATTTTTCCAACAAGCTACATAGTTAAAGTGTTTCTAAGCTGAAGTGTTCCCTGGCCAAAATAGCAGGAGCACACTTGGCCCCTGTTTTGAGGTTGTGGATGCTCACAACCAAGTTTGTCTGCCCCCCCCCCCCACCTATCAGAAAGCCATCCTTTGAATGTTGAACCTTTTGATTAGCCACTTATACAATATGCTCTACAAACAGCTGGACAGGATGGTAGCTGGTTGCATGGGTCCATTTCAAAAAATCAGTTCATCAGTTTGAATATGGGGTAGGTATTTTTCCCCACTTTTGGGTTTGAACATTAATACAAAGTTCCTTGGTCAAATTCTGCCATCACTTCTGGAATACTTGCATTGAAGTAAATGGAGTTACTCTGGATCTACTGATGTAACACAGAGCAGAATTTGCCCTCCACACATTAGGTTACCAACAACCACAGATATGCAGGCAAACAAAACTGAATGTTTATATTTGTTCATTTGTTTTGCATACTTTGTTGAAAAGCTGGTTTTACAAAACAAAGCCTGGGGGTTGTTCTGATCAGCCATATTTATATTGCAAAGTACAGAAGGTTTGGATAAATGGCTCTGTATTAGGCCCATTTTTATATTAATTTACTAAAGAAAATTACTGTATAAAACAGTAATGAGTTGTCCGGGGAAGCTGATTTGCATGGTGCATTATAACTGATGCTTTGTTAATCTATCAAAATTGAAATGTCTCATCTTGCTTAGAACATCCTGCATTTTACCTGGTTTTGGTGATTTATAAAAGCATTTAAATCAGTAAAGTCCTCCCCACACTTCGCTTTCCTGTGTAAATGAAAGACTATGGGCCTTACTCTGATCTCAGCTTCAATCTCCTGGGTCCAACTCACAGCAGTTGGATGTAAGCCACCCTACCTTTACTGTGACATTTTCTGACTCTCAGTCTGACCTTTTCAGAATGTCATTCATTGCAAATAAGGATAAGTTATTAGCCAGATTATTTATTTATTTATTTTTGTTAAAGTGACAAATATCTGATACAAATACTTCATCTTCTAGATAACACAGCTGGAATTCTTACAGCAAAAAATGGCTTCAGTCGACAAGAGCAGTTTGTTTTCTTCCTGCCAGTCCTAATTGTGGACAATGGAACCCCCTCACTTACCAGCACAAACACCCTAACTGTCAGCGTCTGTGATTGTGATACTGAAGCTAGTGCCGAGTCTTGTCGATTTGGAGCTTTCATGTTTTCCATGGGTCTCAGCATAGAAACCTTAGTTGCAGTTTCGGCTTGCATACTAATAATATTAGGTAAGAAAAAATAAGTGAGATGGCTTTAGTATTTATATATGTGTCCCACTGCCCTCTTCTGCTATATGCGAGACTTGATAATTTGAATAGAGGTTCCTTGGTTTGGCTGAGCTAATTATGCTGTTGTGTTTATTGTGTTTCACTGATTACAAATCAAATTGGTTCAGTTTACAAGTAAAAAAAAAAAAAAGTCTTTGTAACTGCCAGTCCTGAAAATCTGGCCAAAGTGTAGGTGTGTTCCTGTATGCACATCTATCATCAGCTGTCGTAAAGATGTGGAAGGCTAAAATCTTGTCTTAGCACACATAAAACTAAAGCAGAATTTAGCCTTACAGTTGAAATTTAGCTGATAGTTCTACTGATGATGCATGAGAAGGAATAGAATCCAATTCTCTCCACCATAACTGTGTGGTTCTGTAGAGCTAAGATAATTTTTTACTGTTTCTTTTTATTTATTTTTGTCATAAAGGAGGCCGCTATGACTCTGAATACAAACAGAGTTGATCTGTTGAATAATAAAGTGACATATTTACATAGTCACTTCTTCAAATACAACCATTCTTATGTTACTCTTCCCCTTTCTTCCCTCCCCCCGCGTCTGTTGATACAAATTTAGGAAGCAGAGTGCTAGGCCTGATGTGACATATGCAGTCTGTGCACCTAAAATGTTTCCTCCATTTAGACAGATTCTACTAGTTTGAGATATATTCCCTATAAATATAGGGATAGAGTGTGTTAACCCCTTATGCCTGCACAGGGATGAAGGTTCAAGCAAGAAGCTTCCCCTTTTGCCCTGCTGTGAAAGGACTGCTCACAGTAGCAGGCCCTGCACTCCTTGCACTCTGAATGCAGAAACTGTTTGCTTCTGCTCTTTTCTCAGCCCACCCCCATTCAGAGTAGATCTAGAGCACAAGGGGCAGCGATCTGGTCCGTCCAAACTTTCAGTGTGAGTTTGAGCGAGACTCAAATCCAGACCTTCAGGACTGTAATCAAGTGCCTTAACTCACAAGTTGCCAAACTGTGATGCATCTGCCCCCAAACATGTCTGGACCTGCTCCACAAACATTGCATCAGGAAGCCCCCATTTTGATCTACAAAATGGAGGTCTTCACATAGCATAACCTCATACATACAGCGCGTGCGAGGTCATGCTGTGCAGAAGTTGTCATTTTCTAGATCACAATGGCAACCTTGCAGCATAACCTAGCATATATGATGCATGTGAGGTCACATTTTGTGGAGACCACCATTTTGTAGAGTATAACATTGGGCTCTTGTTGCGGCATTTGTGAAGCAGGTTCAGACATGTTGTCTGTGTAGAGATTGCTGTGCAGACACCAGTTTGGCCATTTGCACCATGCAGCTGTGCAAGTATCCATCTGAGGGACTTGAATGCAGAAAATCCTTATCTGTGGGTAGCAGCCTCATCAAGAGAGCCTCCTCTCTGCTTGAGCTAGTAGAAACCTGTGCTAGGCTTTTCTGAGATGGGAATCTGCAGTAGGGTGGGGTCCGTATCTTCTTTCATGCCACCCTGAGTACCCTTGTCACTTGAGGATAAAGAATCATTTTGCTGCCCTAGTATCACCACACAGGGCCTTCCTAAGTCCTGGCCTCATTTGCTGAATAGTGAATTCCTCTTTCAGATTTGTGATAAGAAACACAGAGGACTCATTTTTTTACCCAGAGTATCTGCTTCAGCCTCCAGCAGTGAATCTAATGGTGCAGTTATGAACAAAAAACAAGAGTCCAAGAAACATGCTTGAAAATATAATGAGGCTTTCTTTGATTATGACTTCACCAGTGATTTGATCAAGAAAGAAGAAAGGCCAAAATGCCTGCCAGAACACAGTGTCACTTAGAGAAAGCATGAAGCTTAAGAAGCTTAAACAACACTTAAAAACCCTTCACATGGAACACACAGACAAACTAAGGATATTTTTCCAGTGTCGGAAAGACAAACTTTCACGTCAACAATTGCAATTCAAAAGAGCCATGTTCATCTCTGACCATGCTCAAAAGGCATCATTTGAGGTGAGTTACCATGTTGCACAGGCCAAGCAGCTTCATACAATTGGAGAAACTTTGATTTTGCCAGCTGCAACTGATGTGATGAACATAATGTTTGGGGAAACTGAAGCAAACAAGCTCAAATCCATACCACTCTCCAACAACACAGTGAAGCAAAGGATCAAAGTGACAGCCGCAGATCAAGAAAACATACTGATGGAGTATCTGAAAAACACAGATTCTTTTGCTCTTCAAGTTGATGTGAGCACTGAGGGTTGTGATGCAAATTTCTTGGCTTTTGTGAAATACACATGAGATGGTAGTTTCTGAAGACATTCTGTTCTTCCTCTTCCAGGACACAAGATGGTGCAAGATTGTTCAATGTGCTACATGGCTACATGCAAAACAAAAAATTATGGTGCGATTGCATGGTGGGCTTTTGCACAGATGGAACTCTGTTTATGGCAAGCCACAAAGCAGGTGTGCATGCCTTGGTAGAGAAAGTAGCTCCTTTGCTGTGTGAACTCACTGCATGATTCAAAGAGAAAAACTAGCATCTAAAGCTCTGAGCCCAGAGCTATGTGAAGTTTTGCAGCAGGTCTCATCTATTGTGAACTACATCAAGACTCAGCCTCTTCACGTGTGCCTCTTTGCAAACCTGTGTGAAGAAATGGAATACGATCATGATGTGTTGTTCTTTGACAGTGAAGGTTTTTGGCTCTTGAGAGGGAAAGTACTGGGATGATTTTTTGAATTGAGAGACAAGCTGCATGCCTATGTAATGGATTGCGAAAAATACTGAGTTCATTGATTTTTCTGGGTGACCAAAGGAAGATATGCCTTCTGTCCTATGTAACAGACATATCTGGGAAACTGAATTAATTGACAGGTTTCAGAGTAGCAGCCGGGTTAGTCTGTATCCGCAAAAAGAAAAGGAGTACTTGTGGCACCTTAGAGACTAAAAAATTTATTTGAGCATAAGCTTTTGTGAGCTACAGCTCACTTCGTCGGATGCATGCAGTGGAAAATATAGTGGGGAGATTTATATACACAGAGAACATGAAACAATGGGTGTTACCATACACACTGTAACAAGAGGGATCAGATAAGGTGAGCTATTACCAGCAGGAAAGCGGGGGGAGGGGCGGGGGGGGGAGAAACCTTTTGTAGTGATAATCAAGGTGGGCCATTTCCAGCAGTTGACAAGAACATCTAAGGAACAGTGTGTGGGGGGGATAAACATGGGGAAATAGTTTTACTTTGTGTAATGACACATCCACTCCCAGTCTTTATTCAAGCCTAAGTTAATTGTATCCAGTTTGCAAATTAATTCCAATTCAGCAGTCTCTTGTTGGATTCTGTTTTTGAAGTTTTTTTTTTTTTTTTGAAGAATTGCCACTTTTAGGTCTATAATCGAGTGACCAAAGAGATTGAAGTGTTCTCCAACTGGTTTTTGAATGTTATAATTCTTGACATCTGATTTGTGTCCATTTATTCTTTTACGTAGAGACTGTCCAGTTTCACCAATGTACATGGCAGAGGGGCATTGCTGGCACATGATGGCATATATCACATTGGTAGATGTGCAGGTGAATGAGCCTCTGATAGTGTGGCTGATGTGATGAGGCCCTATGATGGTGTCCCCTGAATAGATATGTGGACACAGTTGGCAATGGTCTTTGTTGCAAGGATAGGTTCCTGGGTTAGTGGTTTTGTTGTGTGGTGTGTGGTTGCAAGTGAGTATTTGCTTCAGGTCAGGGGGCTGTCTATAAGAAAGGACTGGTCTGTCTCCCAAGATCTGTGAGAGTGATGGGTCATCCTTCAGGATAGGTTGTAGATCCTTGATGATGTGCTGGAGAGGTTTTAGTTGGAGGCTGAAGGTGATGGCTAGTGGTGTTCTGTTATTTTCTTTGTTGGGTCTGTCCTGTAGTAGGTAACTTCTGGGTACTCTTCTGGCTCTGTCAATCTGTTTCTTCACTTCAGCAGGAGGGTATTGTAGTTGTAAGAACGCTTGTTAGAGATCTTGTAGGTGTTTGTCTCTGTCTGAGGGGTTGGAGCAAATTTGGTTGTATTGTAGAGCTTGGCTATAGACAATGGATCGTGTGGTGTGGTCTGGATGAAAACTGGAGGCATGTAGGTAGGAATAGCGGTCAGTAGGTTTCCGGTATAGGGTGGTGTTTATGTGACCATCACTTATTAGCACTGTAGTGTCCAGGAAGTGGATCTCTTGTGTGGACTGGTCCAGGCTGAGGTTGATGGTGGGATGGAAATTGTTGAAATCATTGGGGAATTCCTCTAGGGCTTCTTTTCCATGGGTCCAGATGATGAAGATGTCATCAATGTAGCACAAGTAGAGTAAGAGCATTAGGGGATGACAGCTGAATTAATTGAATACATGTCTGCAAGGAAAGAACACCACATCTTTCAGCTGAGTGATCACAACACAGGATTCACAAAGAAAATTGTTTTCGGGAAGAATAATTTGCTGAACATAAACTGTGAATCCTTCCTCAAGCTTTGCAAGTTCCTGGCTGACACACAGGTGCTGGCTGAGTATCTCAGATGGCTGAAGGACCAGTTTGTATCGTTTTTCTCCAACTTGGACATGACAAAGTATGATTAGGTATGCAAAGACAAAGCAAGGCTGATGCCATTGGTTTGCCAGCAGCTGAAATCAAACAGCACAGAAATTTCCTGTTATCGATTCCTGCAAGGAACATATACTCAATATTCTTTCCCAGAGTTCTGAGTCACTGTCATGAGATAAAAGGGAAGGTCCTCTCATAGAACTGTAACTGGACTGGTTAAAAGATAGGAAACAAAGAGTGGGAATAAATTGTCAGTTTTCAGAATGGAGAGGTAAATAGTGGTGTCCCCTATGGGTCTGTACTGGGTCCAGTCCTATTCAACATATTCATAAATGATCTGGAAAAAGGGGTAGACAGTGGGGTCGCAAAATTTGCAAATGATACAAAGCTACTCAAGATAGTTAGGTCCCAGGCAGACTGCAAAGAGCTACAAAAGGATCTCTCAAAACTGGGTGACTGGGCAACAAAATGGCAGATGAAATTCAATCTTGATAAATAGAAAGTAATGCACATTGGAAAACATAATCCCAACTTTACAGACAAAATGATGGGACCTAAAGAGAAAGAGATCATTGTGGATAGTTCCCTGAAAACATCCACTCAATGTGCAACTGCAGTCAAAAAACCTACCAGAATGTTGGGAATCACTGGGAAAGGGATAGATGATAAAATAGAAAATATCATATTGTGTCTTGAATACTGAGTGCAGATGTGGTCTCCCCATCTCAAAAAAAAAAAAAAAATATATTGGCTTTGGAAAAGGTTCAGAAAAGGACAACAAAAATTATTAGTGGTATTGAACAGCTTCCGTATGAGGAGACATTAATAAGACTGGGACTTTTCAGCTTAGAGATATGATACAGGGTGATATGATACAGGTCTACAAAATCATTACTGGTATGGAGAAAGTAAATAAAGAAGTGTTATTTACTCCTTTCCATAACACAAGAACTAGGGCTTACCCAATGAAACTAGTAGGCTGCAGGTTTAAAACAAACAGAAGGATGTATTTCATCACACAACACAGTCAAACTGTGGAACTCTTTTCCAGAGGATGTTGTGAAGACCAAGACTACAAAAGGGTTAAAGAACTTGATAAATCATGGAGGGTAGGTTGGTCAACGGCTACGAGCCATGGTAGACAGTGATACAAAACCATGTCCCTATCCTCTGTTTGCCAGAAGCTGGGAATGGGTTCCAGGCGATGGATCAGTTGATGATTACCTGTTCTGTTCATTCTCTCTGAAGCACCTGGCACTGGCCACTATCAGAAGATGTGATGCTGGGCTGACCCAGTATGGCCATTCTTATGTTCTTATGTATGGTCAAGAAGTACCTCAGAACTGATAGTGCCATTCACAAGCATGTATTTCTGTGAAGCTGGATTCAGCATTCGTGTCCGTCAAGTCTCAGTATCAATCTACCATTGATGTCACATCAGAGATTAGATGTGCAATTTCTACCTCACTGCTGGACATGAAGAAGCTGTGTCACAATACGCAAGCCCATGCATCACAGAGAGCATTAAGTAACATACTTAATGTGTAAATTCCTTGGATTCCTTGGCTGCTGTGGTGCTTTGTTGCTATTTTAAGTCAAAGGACACAATAAGCCTCAAAATAGGCTCATGCAGGCAAATAATTTATGAAACTTTGCAGTAACCACTCAGACACTGCACTTCCATCTAAATGTAATGCACAGTAATCCCTGCTAACACTAGAGTGTTCATTTAGCATTCCCTTAGATGGATGCATCAACCCCTGTGAGCTTGTTAAAGAGCGTGTTTCCTACGGTAACATTGGCATAGCACATCATTTGACATGCTACACTTTCTGATAGCATGACATGGGCAAAACACCATCCATCATCCAAAGATGTGGGTCATCAAAAGCAAGGACAACTTTTTCGGTGCCTCCTTATCAGCTACTATCAGAACTATATAAACTCACCAGCACTAGAGTTATTTCACAGATGGTGTGATTTAAAAGTCATAAGTTAGGCAAACATAATTGTTTCACTGGAAGTGAAATTTTAATTAAAAAAATGAGTAGAATCTCAATTTAAAATTGATTCCACTGTTACAAAGGGCATGATAACAAAGAGGTGTTACCTTTCTAAATCGTGCAGCTATGGCATGAATTGTACTTGTTCTTCAACCCTTCAGAATGCTTCCTAAGAAAACTATCCCCAAAGATGTAGCATCAGAAACGAGAAAAATAATTTTAAAAATGTTCCAATATATTTTTTAAAATAACAACTCAAACCTTTATGGATAAATATTTTCTTAATTGCCTGAGTTTAGCTAAAGAGGTCAAAATAAATGGGAACTATTTCTTCTTGTCTTAGAACTTTGTTTTAAATTGTTGAAAGTGAATACAAAGTCATCTTAAGGAAGCCCTACATATTTTCAAGTGAAGTATATCATGAGAAAATAAACTTTATTTTACCCTCATTACACAATAAAACCTCTGCTAGCCTATTTTGTACAACAAAGAGTGGGATATCACTAATCACAGGAGAGCTGTGAGGCTTGAAAATGAAGACTATGGGCCTTACTCTGATCTCAGCTTCAATCTCCTGGGTCCAACTCACAGCTGTTGGATCTAAGCCACCCTACCTGTACTGTGACATTTTCTGACTCTCAGTCTGACCTTCTTGCTATTTGCCTTAGATAAATGGACTGGGGCATATGATCTGCTATTAATTAATAATATTAATATCTATTAGTATCAATTAATATCTGCAGTATTCAAAATATTATCTCTAGCAATTATATGGAAGTACAAAGAATATTGCAGTAACCTTATCTATTTAAATGAGGTAAAACTGCCACGTTTCTAAGTACCACAAGTGTACTGTGCAATATTGTGCTTTGGATAAAGAATTGCTGTTTCCAGAATTGTCAATCAAATTTGTTTGGTTTATTTTTTAAGCTTAAAACTGAATTCAGTTTTCAGCTCTAATTAGTTACAAATTGAAATCATGCATCGTTTTGGATCCCATTGTGTATTTGAAATGGACCCTTCAGTTTGGGATGAAGTGAGCCAGGATTTGGTGCAGGGAGGGTGGCAGGGGGGAAATGAATGCTTATTTAAAAAAAATAAACAAATGGAAAATCTTTTCTATCTGAGCCAGTCATTCTACAATTCAAGCTTTTATGTCAGTTACAAAGAAGGCATTCTTACAGACAGAGCTTGCTGGTGCACAGATATGAGGTACAACATCCCCAAAATCTTATTTCTCAAATGTGCAAGACCAGTTACTAGAAACTATTGGATCAGATGCTCACCTGCTTAGCTTAGGTTCATTGAAGTCAATGGAGTTGAACCAATTGACACCAACTGAAGAGGATCTAACCCAATAATGTTACTTTTTTATTTCCCAGCCCTTCCAGTGGTTTTGATCTGGGAGAAGGAAATGAAATTTTGAATGGAGCATTGATATATTATATAATAAAACAAACGAGTTTCAAACAGCACAAGTAACCCATGATTCCCTCACTGCTCCAAACTCTCATTGGCCAAACAAATTGCTCCATTTCCTTAACCCATTTTATAAATCCCTTTGTAGCCATTTCCCCACCAAAAATACTACATCTTGCAACCATAAATCCACAAAAATCACAGCTCTACAAATCCACCTAGATTGCTTGAGTTTGCATATGCTTCAACATTAGGAAGTTTTATTACCCTTAAGACTTTCCAAACACATAAAAAGTCTCTGATTCTTTTCTTTTTTCTTTTTTTTTGTGTCAGTGTTTTTTTTGGCAATGCTGGTTTTAAGGCAACGGAGGAAGCAGTCCCTATTTCCTGACAAGCCTGAAGAGTTCAGAGAGAACATTGTCAGGTATGATGATGAAGGAGGTGGAGAGGAGGACACAGAGGCTTTTGATATTTCAGCACTCAGGACTCGTACTGTTATGAGAGAGCACAAGTCTAGAAGAAACATCACAACAGAAATCCAAAGCCTTTACAGACAATCTCTGCAAGTTGGTCCTGACAGTGCTGTGTTCAGGGAATTCATTTTAGAAAAGCTTAAAGAAGCTAATACAGATCCTACTGTTCCACCATACGATTCCCTTCAGACATATGCATTTGAGGGGACTGGCTCACTGGCTGGATCCCTCAGTTCTTTAGGATCAAGCATGTCAGATGTGGATGAGAATTATGATTATCTTACTGAGCGGGGGCCAGACTTTAAACAACTAGCATGCATGTATGACCCCATTAAGAGTGCAACGGATTAGCAGCCACTAGGGGCCACATTTTCAAAAGTACTCAAATCAAAATCAAGTCTGGATTTGAAAATGAGACCAATTTAAGCATCAAAAAAAGTGGCCAGATTTTCAAGAAGCGCAGTTCAAAAGGATAGTGGATGCTGAGAACCTTTTGAAAATCTGCCCGTGAGCATCACTCTGAGAAGTGTTGAATGCTCAGCAATTTTGAAAGTCAGATTTTATTCAGTTGCTTGCATACAAGCTGCACTTCTTTGAAAATCTAGTTCCAATGGTGGGTGCTTAAAACAGGTCCCACAAGTACAGGAAAAAAAAAAACAAAAAAACTATGGTTCCTGGAAATACTCGACCTAGCTTAGGCTTTACAACTATTTTCAAAGTTAAGGCTGACTTGTAGGGTTTTTTTGTTTATATTAATTAACCAAAGTTAAAGCTTGCATATTTGTATTATGTTTGGTAATATAAATTCTATTGTGTAAAAAATGTAGACACCAGAAATATTTTAAATGATTGCCATAAACACTTACAAAGTCCTCTATTTATTTTTTTTAGCATAAAATTAAAGCAAATACCATTTTTAGCTGTGTAGAAATAAAGGCCTGTTACAGTCAACATTTATTCACTATTAAATTTGAATTTTTATTAAACTGCTGGAAAGTGTGTTAAATTCTTAATTAATTTCTCAGTTAATGCATTCAAAAATTATAAAAGACAAAAAGTATTAGGTTCAAGTTTGAATCAATATTCAACTTAAATAGAGTAGTATCAACCATGTTACATTTTACTGTGCATAGCATCAAATACAATTCACATTTGGGCTTTTCCCCTTTTATTAAGAGCTTAAAAGATGACTGATTTCCCAGCACAGATATTTTTTATTATGGAATATAAAATTAGCATCAGTACTCAATTTTATTGTAACAGTATTAAAGATCTTTAAAATGCTAAGCTGATGTATATAAAACTTGATGTATAACATTAGATAATAAGATAATAAAACACTTTAATGTTAATCCAGTTCTTCAGAAAATGATCCCACATCATACTGAAGGAATCGAGTCAGACTTCAAAATTAATTTCCCACTGTATTTTTTACACAGTCTGTCGGGAGTATTAAATTGTCTCAGAACTATTCCCTTTCACTTATCTGTATGGTGGATCAACAGAAATTTAGTGTTCTAAAAACCATCAAATATATTCAAATGCTGACTAAGAGAGGAAGGGTCTGCCTTATATTTATTCACCATTTTTCCCATTAGTTGTTTATTTTACAGCATCTGCAACATGTAATCAATTGAAACATTTCAACAGCTGAAAGCTGGCATCAGGAAGAGGAAAAGCAATTAGCTTTTTTGTTTAAGCTCTCAGGTAAGCTCCACTGAATTACAGAAAGCTAGGCAAATCTTATACAAGAAATGAAAATGCATGAAGCATAGCAAACATCACAGAGCTTGTACAATTGTTTGTTTATTAAAGAAAAACAAGGGATGTAGTCTAAGCAGAAATGCCAGTACAGAAACACTTTAAATACCTGCAAGTTAAAAATAAAACACATGAGAAAGTAAGGGAATTAGGACACAAACGGGTATGAGTCCAGAGAAAAAAAACTATGGATGCTATTTGTTCTTGAAACAATATTATCAAGCATGTGACTAGCAGCCAATGAACCAGCACATGTATAATGGAGAAAAGTTGAGGGTTTTTTTTTTTTTGTGTGAGAACAATGCTAAGTTCCTCCATAGAAGATTTGTCACAGAGTAACTTTAAAAGATGCATGTCAGTTAAGCATTGCAATAATAGATCAAATGCTTGTATGGGACGCAGACAGATGTGACAAAAAGGTTTCTAGTTAGATAATATTGTGCATATCAATCATTAGCTCCATGGAAAAGAATGGGAATGAGACAACACATGAGCTTGTATTTGTTTGTTTTGTGGGATGGGAGTGTGACGGGGTATATACAACCCACACAGATGAGAAAAGCGCCAGAGTCCCTCTGTGTGGGGCTAGTTCCACCCCTTGGTCCTGCCAACCATGTATTGGAGGGAGGTGACCTTTAAAAAGGAATAAACTGCAGTCAGCTGAGAGGAGAGATCACCCTCAGCAGAAACTGCTGGAGCAGCTCCACAGGGGGGAACTCCCATCCAGAAGATCTCCACTGTGACCCTATGAAGAGTCCAGCAAACTCCCAGGGCAAGCATGACAGCATGAGCCTAATTCAGGAACCCCGCCAGAGGGACTCCTTGAAAACCATTGCACAGATGCTGTACTTTTGGACTTTTTCCATTTGAATGGCCCTAGTAAAAAGTTATTTTGGGGTATGCTGGGGCATTTAACTTTCCTTAGAATCCTCTATCAGAAGGCACTTAAGAAGGTCCACAAAGGGGAGAGTCCCCTTGCAAGAAGTAAAAAACTGGGCCCTCTGCATGAACCATCCAGTGTAAATAAGTGGGTGTAGTGAATGTCTTCCACCATCTGGGAGAAAAACATAAGGGAGATCTTTTACAGGGAGTACATATCAACATCCAGATTCTGAAACCGTAAGAGGTACCATACTCCACAATTGGTCCCATTGTCTTTAATTGAACCCCTTGTGGAATGGAATAGCATTCATTATGAAGAAGGATGTCAGCCTCTGCATCTCAACATGGATTGTGAGAAAATGATCACTGTTCAATTGTTCAGACAGGGGACTAGGATACAATCCATGATTATGCTGATATTGCCTTTCATCCTGCTTGAAGTTGTGTTCCATATATCATCCAGTTTGAGTGTATATTCATGTAATAATTACAAAATTATTTAACTGTGTCCTATTGGTTCATTGTGTTATATATCTCCTTCTAGTACAGGAGTGGCCAACCTAAGCCTGAGAAGGAGCCAGAATTTACCAATGTATATTGCCAAAGAGCCACAGTAATATGTCAGCAGCCCCCCATCAGCTCCCCGACCCTGCTCCCAGCACCTCCCACCCACCAGCAGCCCTGCCAATGAGCACTTCCCCTTCCCTCCCCGCACCTCACGATCAGGTGTTTTGTGGTGTGCAGGAGACTCTCAGGGATGGGTGGGAGGAGCGAGGGCACTGCAGGCTCAGGGTAGGGGGTGGGAAGGGGTGGAGTGGAGGCAGGGCCTGTGGCAGAGCCAGGGGTTGAGCAGTAGTTGTAGTATTGTTGTATTCAAGATGAGGGCATATTTGGGATTTATATATTGGCATTGTGATGTTTTCTGTCTTTTTATCTCTCTCTTTCTCAATAGTTCCTAATATTCTCTTAACTTTTTTGACTGCCATTGCACACTGAGCAGATGACTTTAGGTAACTATCCACAATGATTTCAAGATATAATTCTTGAGTGCTAACAGCTAATGTAGACCCCCATAATTCCGGGTGTATAGTTGAGATTATATTTTCCAACATTTTAGAGATAATCCTTAATTCACATAATGTATCCACATCTCCTGCCATAAATACTGTCATTCTTATACTAGCTTTGCTTGCTAAATTTGCATTGGAAATACAGTTGTTTTAGCATGCATACTTAATCGTACAGGGTAACCATGTCAAATAAGAGGAAGATAGGACTCAACAGACAGTATATATTATTATGCCTTAAAGTAGTTTTAATGCACACTTTTTCTCTGAAAATTCCACTCTAGAAGTGGGAGTTAAGAGAGTTTATATGACATTACATATGGCAAAGAATGAGTTTTACCCTTGGCTCACAAATCATGAGAATAGAACACATAATTGTTTGACATGCCAGTAAAAGCATGTATACATAAAAATATGGTCTGGTATTATTTATGTAAGGTTAGACTCCTTTTCACAGTAGTAATTTACATCTCATATTCACATATCAAAAAAAGATTAATCCTTCACATTCTCCTCTCAGTTCCAACACATAGGGTGCAAGAGGTCAGGGGAAATTAAATGGTGCACTGGTTGTGTGCTGGCCCTTGGCACAGGGGTGAATTCTACCCATAAAGATGTAAAGGGATATAACAATGATCAAGACCATGTATGAGGTTCAAATCCAAATCTACAGGCATTGGCAGGTGTGAAGAGCACCTGAAAAAAAGGGGAAGCATTAATAGTGAGAGGACATTCTACTTTAGAGAACATTAACAGCCATCAACAGCGATCTACAATAGTAGATGTCACAACAGAATAATCTGTGCTATCTGAATGTTGAAACTTTTACATTGTGTTTCAAAACTGTATTGTTTTCTTTAATAATATAGAGGTGAATATACAGGTCAATACAGGCCAATACATAAACTAATGTTGTTTACTCCTATGTAAGTTCTAATGAAATTGGTATGAGAAGAAATATGGAATAATCACAAAGTACAGTTTTTTAGGAGTAAATTCACCCCATCCCCACACAAAGCACAAACAGACACATTTTGCAAAGGGAATTTTGGTCCTCAGCAACAGTTATTCTAACCTAACATCTGTTACAGCCCCTCTGCATTAATAAACAAAGGTTCCAGGTGACTGGATAGTATTTAATTGCAGTAAGCGCATCTGCAATCTACTTCCAGGGGCCTTCTGCATGCTGGCTGATTCGGAGACCCACTTCAGATACAAAGGATGTGCAGAGGGCCCCTATGCAGCTAGTCCACACCCAGTGCTACCCTAGTCCACACCCAGTGCTACCCTGGAGGATTCACAGTGAAGAGGCCCTTCTTTAAACACCATCACATTGTGGACCAAATTCTCTTTTCACCATCAGATAATCTGATTTTGAAATGAAAATCACCCCAAAACCAAAACCAAGTCTGCTCTCCCTCTGTTGTGTGGAGTGGGAGAAGGATGTAGGGATCTCATGCCATCCCCAACCCCCATGTACTTTCCTTGAACAACAGCAAACGTGTTTTAGGGTGGGGTGGACAATCAATGCACAACTACACAAATCCACCAGCTATTCCCCACTCTCTTCAGAAGGGGACATGTGACTATAATATAGTTCCATTGACATTGCATGAGCTGAAAAGGAAGATTCTTTCTTCCCTAGAACCACTCATATGCACAGTCCAGATCTTCAAGCTCTTAGCATAAAAGGAGGATTTTGTCTTCATAGAATCATAGAATATCAAGGTTGGAAGGCACCTAAGGAGGTCATCTAGTCCAACCCCCTGCTCAAAGCAGGACCACTCCCCAACTAAATCATCCCAGCCAGGGCTTTGTCAAACCTGACCTTAAAAACCTCAACGAAAGGAGATTCCACCACCTCCCTAGGTAACACATTCCATTGTTTCACCACCCTCCTAGTGAAAAAGTTTTTCCTAATATCCAACCTAAACCTCCCTCACTGCAACTAGACCATTACTCCTTGTCATCTGCTACCACTGAGAACAGTCTAGATCCATCTTCTTTGGAACCCCCTTTTAGGTAGTTAAAAGCAGCTATCAAATCCCCCCCTCATTCTTCTCTTCTGCAGACTAAACAATCCCAGTTCCCTCAGCCTCTCCTCATAAGACATGTGTTCCAGACCCGTAATCATTTTTGTTGCCCTCTGCTGGACGCTTTTTAATTTTTTCACATCCTTCTTGTAGTGTGGGGCCCAAAACTGGACACAGTACTCCAGATGAGGCCTCACCAATGTCAAATAGAGGAGAACGATCACGTCCCTCGATCTGCTGGCA